ATTTGAACCGCTGACCTGCTGATCTAGCAGTAGCCTGCAGTGCTGCATTTAACCACTGCGCCACCTTGGCTCTAGACAAGATCATTTTGAGTCAAGACTTTGTAGCATCTGGGACTGCGGAAGTGACACATCATGTATCATAAAAAGGGATCTGCAGGAAGGTAAGCTGAACCTTCTCATGGGATGGTTTGCTGATAGAACAGGAATGTCGAATCTAGACCACCCCCACCATTGCCTGATAACTTGGGCCACGGTGATGGAAAAGGCTGAGAATGGTAATTTTTATTAGCACATGGGAGGCCACAGGTTGACCCATCCTTGTTGTAGATCAGGAAATCCCAAACTTAGCAACTTTAAGACTTGTGGACTTCAACTCCCAGAAGTCCTCCGCCAGCATGACTGGCGGAGGACTTCTGGGAGTTGAAAGTCCACAATTCTGAGAGTTGGAGTCTTAAAGTTGCCGAATTTGGAGACCCCTTCGTTTTAGATGAAGGCATGGACTTTGTGCTAGAATCTGGACCAAGAGCAGGGGATCTAATGCCCTCCTTCTGGATTCTTTTTTTGGATTTCAAATCCCATGGAGATTAGAGTCATAAATATCTAGGAGGGTTTTCTGTGGTATAAACATTTTAAAGGAAACGAAGCATGCCAACCTTAATTGAAGAACAAATTTCTGCAATTAGGAATCTACACACCTTACCAGAATCAGCTTCCTCACCATTCTTCCTCAAAAAAAACCCCAGAATATTTGGATTTTCCCCAAAATACCAGCCTCCTAACTTCACTGTTGGCTTCCGCCTCCTGTGGTATCCAACATGTACTTTCTATTTGTCCTGCTTCTAAGGACAACCTGTGCATGGATAGTTGAAATGACCTATGTGAGGGCGGCTTGCTTTAGGATAAGGCAATTGAGGAATCAAAAACAAATCACATTACAAAGACATATCAGTGATGGACCTGCATTATCCTGGAAACAGCTTAGCTGCCATTCACCATTCTGTACGCTCGGTGAGACTGCAGAAAGGGAAATATAAACGAGCCACCGATTCTGTATGTTTGCCTGGACAATATAAAACTAAGCCATGAAGTCTTTGGCTCAGAACAGCTCTTTTCCATAAGGGGATGTGGACCCTGGTTCAGTGATCCAAATATTGCCCCAAAGTGAGAAAGGAGTCAAGAAAATGATGAGAAGAGCCAGAGCTTCTCAAAACTGGGTAAAAATCTCGTTGCTGGTGAAAGGGGAGCCCTGGGCAATTGGGGATATTGAAACTATAGGCTCAGAACTGCTTCTCCCTGAGATATGGGGTGGAAGAAACAGAATATTATTCTAAACGTCTGTCCCCCACCCATCAACAATTCTACTAGAATTAGCTGGGGAAAGTCAACTCGCCCCACATAAAAAGCAGCAATAGGTCCAGCTCAGGAATGAATTCAGGGGTTTTATTTCTGCTGGTGTTCTGCAAAGGGGTGCCAGATATTTAATCTTCCTGGATTCCCTGTCACCCACAAATTAAGACTCCTATAAATCTTCTACCCTTCTTGCCAACTGCACTAAAACCATCTGCCTTTCAGATGTTCACTTCTCAATCCTCTAGAAGGTAGACCTCTCCTTCCCATCCACTGGGGTACATATCTTCCCTGGCGCAGATATGGATACAGCTATCATGCCTTCTCGTACTTCTCCTTGGCAAAAGAGGGTAGATCTTTGGATACACTGGATTTTATCCCCAGGAAATTCAATTATTGGCTCTTCTCTAACCTTTTAAATAAGCCATTGTTTTTAGTCCATCCAACCTATCTTAAAAGGCAACCGTTTGCTCTTACAGGCTAGACCACAAGTCTCCAAACTGGGCAACATTAAGACTTGTGGACTTCAACTCCCAGATTTCCTCAGCCAGCCATGGAATTCTGGGAGTTGGAAGTCCACAAGTCTTTACATTGCCAAGTTGGGAGACCTTCAGGGGCTAAACCATACATTTAGGAATAGCAGGTTCTCTTTATTTTCAGCTGCCTGTTCTTGATGGTCTTCACTAGGTCACTGCCACCCAGGAAGCAATAGGAGGCCAAAACAGGGAAAAATCGTAGGCCCTTGAAAATATGCAATAATTGGCTACATTGTGGATGTTATTTGCTTTCTTTTGTAAAGATATTTTACCTGGGCATTACAGGTTCAAACCAGAGGTAAAGATGATGCCCATCAAGAACCCCACAAAGAGAGTTACTAATTTCTGTCTCCTCTCCCCTTCAAAAACTACAGCTCCCAGAATCCTCTAGGGGTAGCCATAACACCCCCAAACCAGGCTGAGATTGGTTTATATCTTTAAGGTAGATGAATCTCACACCTCTTCCCTCTGTGATTTTGGCTGAGCCCCGCTAGATGATAATAATTCTGGATGGATCCCATCTGTTAAGTTTCTTTTCTGCACTGAGAAGTGGAATTTAAAACAACCGATGTGAGAAAGTTCTGCGGATGTAGTCCTTATTTTTGAGTCATTGCTCGTTTTGAGAAATACTGTTTCTCCTCGTTACCTTTTTCTTCTTCCAATTTCTGTCCAGCAATCTTAAATACAAGATAAAATGTTAGTCTTTTGATCCTCCAAGGCCCACTTGGAGAATCTCTCAGGCTTGAGTCCCTGCCCTGACACAACAAGGTGGGTCAACACAATTTCCCTCCTCATAGTGGTGATTCTTGCTTACATCCATTAGCTGCGGGCTGCTCACTTTCTTGTTCTGCATCGAGTCCGGCAATTTGCTTGTCCTCTGGAGGCTCTGGCGATCCAGCCCGGATGCTGACCCACAAAACCATAGTCTGTAAAAACCCATAAAGACAGGCAAATTGCAACAGGTACTCCTGGACCAACCAAAGAACCAAGTACATCCCATAGGCGCTGACCAAGAAACAGGCCAAGCCATGGAGCCACACCTTCACGGGTCCTCCAAATCCCAGGATATCCATAACCAACCGGAAAGCTGGAGAGGATGCACAGAGCAGGGTCACCACGCACAGGTCAAAGAGGTGTCGGGTGAAGTTGAAGCAAATCTGGAAGTGCTCGGGAGTCTCCACCGATGGTTTGTGAGGAGCAACATATTGAGGTATCCCAGCAAACAGCGAGTGCCCTCCCACCGCTGAGCCTTGGCCCCATCCAATCATTTCCAAAAGCCGGCGGCCACTCCACCATCTTGCCTTGGCAGGCCCTGTGCATTTCACGGAAACCTCCTGTTTTTCTTTCAAACGCTCCTCCTGGTTGAAGTCCTGCTTTCCTCTCCACCAGGACAGTTGAGGGAGCCATGACTTGGCTCTGGTTAAGAACATCGCACAGGGAATAAATCCTGGTTCTCTCCAAAGGAGGCCTCCAGCCCAGGGTGTCTATTTTACCAGCGTCGTGGAAAGTGAAGATTAAAAGTCAATTCGGCTGAAATTTTCCCCGGAAAAGGATTCCCACTGCAAAATATGCTGCTTAACTTGGTGGGTCTCTCTGCATCTGCTTTCGGCTTGATTAGTAGTGTTTCAAATCCTGAAATTTCTGACTCATTCTTCAAGTACACCACAATTGAGCTTGTCCATAAATTAAGGGTCATCCAGGCTTACAGTTGTTCGGGACGTTGGCTGTCGGGGAATATAATTTTCTCTGTTCAGGAAAATAGAGATGGTGAGAGCACTTTACGTAAGGGCAAGTAGAACTGACTGCCACATCATACAACTTCTTCTAGCACAGTGATGGCGAACCTTTTAGACACTGGGTGCCCAAACTACGGGTGTGCGCACGCCCAAACTGAAAGACATACACGCACATGCCCATGGATGCGCAGACATGCGCGCATGCGCAGCAGAGACCCAAAGACCAACTGGATGGCAGGAGGCGGGGCATCCCAACATCGGCAGTGCGATAAGAGTTGAGATCATTTTCTTTTGTGAGCTTCTGTTTCGTTGTTTGCAGGGAAACAGAACCTCATGAAAGAAACGCCACGGAGATCTGACCAGGGGAGACGGCATGCGTGCCAGCAGAGAGGGCTCTGCGTGCCACTTCTGACACACGTGCCATAGGTTCGCCATCACGGGTCTAGCATCATGGACAAACTGGATAAAAGAAGAGGTGGGAATTTACCCTCCCGTGTTTTTACAAATAAGCATATTGTTGCTTCAATAGGAAAAGGAAGCCACAGTACGGTATTCTCCATCATTCAGGCACTCCAAAATATCACACCAGGCTAATTCCAGCCTTTGCCCCCTTCTGAAATGGAGGAGGCAGTTTTAAATTGATGAACTAATTGCCTAAAAGAGAACAAGCAAGGGGGGAAGAGTTGGGGTGCGGCAAGGACTGGATCACACTTTCTCAATCTTGGCAACTTGAAAATGTGTGGACTCCAACTACCAGAATTCTACAAGCAGCCCATACTAGCTGGGGAATTCTGGGAGTTGAGGTCCACCCATCTTTAAGTCCACCAAGGTTGAGAACCACTGGACTCAACTATAAGAAACATATAAGAGAAAGCCTTAAATGGCTTTTGGTCATTTTAAAAGTTATAGGGTAAGTGGGCACAACAGGTTCTCTGAAGGTCATTAGTGAAAATATAACCATTCACTTCAATTATTGTGACCTATTTTACTTTGTGTCTGGAACAGCAGGAATAATAATGACTTACTCCAAAAAGTTTGCTGTGAGGGCAAATATATTTTATATAATTTTGTATATCCATACATTTTCACTCATCTCATACCAATTCTTTTCTATCCAATTTACTCAGTCAGTTTTCAATTTGATCTAGTGTTCCTTGAGATGTGTTAGAGAATGCAGGTTATAAGTTGAATTTCTGAATGCAGTGAGATACAGAAAAATGGACAGCTTGTAATTCTATAATTATTTAACCTACCCTCTGAATAGAGGAAATATCGGAAGTGGGAAAGAGTGTTCAAATATTCCCACACATAATTCTCACTCCCTTCCCCCCCAAAAGAACAAAATTGCATTTTCACTTTACAGAAAAAGCAGAGATTTGGCTAAATTTGGAATTAAGAGTCTGTCTTCCTGTCTCTTTTTTTCTGTCTCTTAATGTATTCACAATTTAACCTATATCCTGATTTGCTTATTTTGCATATTTGCTCTCCTTCTTTCCCACTGAATCCTAATGTTCTTGATTTTGATTTAACATAGCCTGTGAATCCATCTATTTTGATTTAGCACTGAACCAAATTTGGCTACTATGACTTGCTCAAGAAATTATAATGTAACAATCCTGATTTAGCCACATGTGGGAACTCAGCACCACTTCTAAGATGTTCCAAAATTGCAGAAACCGTTTTATGTCGGCAACATATTTCTTCCCTGCATAAAAGCCTGCATTTGGGACAGAACAACTCTTTTGGAATAGCATAAACTCAGCACAAAGGAATATTCTCACAGCATAAGAAATCATCAAGTCAAAACCTGTTTGTTTGTTTTTTATCTTGGCCATATCTCTCCTGCTGTGGCATCACTGGATTGCCCCAACCATCTCTTCAATCCTCAAAATGCAAGAACACCATTCCCAAAGTGTAGCAACTATAAGATCTCCTTGTGAAATTTTGAGTGCTCATCATTATTCAGAAGTACTAACTCCCACTGAGATAAATAGACTTTGCCCTAAGGGAAATAGTTAGATATCTTAGCTACCTCTAATTTGGTGGTAGTGGTGGTGGAGAATGCATGAAAAGATAATAATGAAAGCAGTTTCTCTAAACCAGGGCTTCTTAAGTCCTTGTGGATTTCAATTCCCATAATTCCTCAGCCAGCCAGCCAAGATCCCAGAATTCTGGGAGTTGAAGTCTTTTAAGTTTGGAAAAAGTTCAGAGAAGAGCAACTAAGATGATCAAAGGCCTGGAGATTAAACCATATGAAAATGGCTGCAGATTTTGGGTCCGGCTAGCCTAAAGAAAAGAAGAATTAGGGGTGACATAGCAGCAGTACTTCAGTATTTGAGGGGCTGCCACAAAGGAGAGCGGGGTCAAATTATTCTCCCAAGCACCAGAGGGCAGGACAAAAAATAATGGTGGGAAACTGATCAAAGAGAGAAGCAATTAAGGAGAAGCTTTCTAGCAGTGAGGACAATTAACCAGTGGAACAGTTTGTCTTCAGAAATTGTGGGTGTTCCATCACTAGAGCACCCACTCTTTTAAGAAGAGACTGGACAGTCACTTGTCTCAGATTGTAGGATCTCCTGCTTGACTAGAAGACCTCCAAGGTCCCTTCCAGCTCTATTCTATTCTAACAAGTTATTTTAAGGTTTCCAAGGTTGAGAAACAGTGCTATAAACAGACACAAATTCTTTTCTCCTTGTCACTGAGAATCTGTGATGCATCCTTACCTTAAAGTTAGAGGGAAGACTCTTTGGGGGTCTCACTGCCAATATTCTTTAAACCAATGTTTCTCAATCTCGGGATGTTTAATATCTGTGGACTTCAACTCCCAGAATTCCCCAGCCAGCATGCCGACTGCAGAATTCCTGGGGTTGAAGTGCCCAGTGGTTAGGGAATTCTGGGAGTTGAAATCCACATTTTAAAGTTGTCAATGTTGTAGTGATAAATGCCTCAGACATTTATCCGAAGGGACATCTCACCTATTCATAGAACTCCCTGTTCACCTTGAACCCTTTCACTAAGTTTTCGGCTCACTGGTTTACAGTTTTTCATATCTATACCTCTGCAAACAACCATCTCAAAACATCGCTTATCAGATAGCACCAACATGTTTTGAGAGTCAAGCCATCAAGAGTGATGGCTCTTTGAACTTTGCTCTCTTCCCCGCCCGCTCTTTTTTTTTTTTTTTAGGGTTTCAAAAGTTTTATTTTCTTTTAA